GAAAGCTGGTGCTGCCATTGTCGGGTCATCTCACCTCCCCCCACCACCGCATTATCATGCTGGCCATCCTCTGCCCCTGCCCTCCATGCTAATTTCAAATCGCTTCCTTAACAAGGACAGCTCCTCTACTTCTGAAAGCTGTTCCCTTAACGGAGCATGGGAAGCCCCCACTACTCCTTAGCTCCAGGGTGGTCCCCATGTCTGAGTTCAGAGACTGCTGTTTTATTTGAAAGCAGACATACTACCCATTTGTAAAACACCTGAAGTTGAAATGAGTCACGGGCCAGATGGATGCCCTAAATAATCAACAGCACTCAAGTTGGTGAAAAAACCAAGGGGGGGGGGGCGGTTTAGGCTCCTGCAAGGGGGAGAGGAAAGAATTTATTTTAAAATGTTTTTTAATGTATTTTTTTAGGTATCAAGTTTCAAGAAACCTTTCAAGGGTGTTCTCTTTAATTCTCTGGCCCAAGAAGAGGGAGTGTGTAGCAGCTTGAGACGGCAGGGAACGTAAACTGCTGCCACTGGGTGGATTACTGCCTGCATCCCAGTGTAATCAGCCGTCTGCAGGACATCACAGAGCCAGTGCACTCCAGAGCAGCGGGCTGATTCATGGCTCTAGGGTTGCCGCTTCTCGGGGGCAAGCTCTCTGTTCTTTCTGTAGGACTCTTGAGAAAGAACTCCTGGTCTGATCTAGTTCCTTTCTCTGATTCCCAAGCCAGCCTCCTTCCCCAAAGAACAGGCTTGCAGAAGCCTTCAAGGAACCTAAAGAAAATATAAATCACTACTCATGTCAGGTGATGGCAAATGTGGGGGGGGGAGGGGCACAGAATCTGCAGATCGCCTTTTGAAACAACAGGTTCAAAATACATGACTACCCAGGACTAAGCAACATTCTTTTGAACAAACCTTCAGGGCTCTACTGATGTTAACAAATAAACCGATGAATGTGGAGGGGCTCGTGGCCCCATTCTGAGCTGAATACCTTCTGCCTCTCCATCCACTCTCCAGCACCTGTGCCTGCTCCCTGGCTGTGGTTCAGGCTACAGGGTCTGGGAGGAGATTGAAGGAGATGGAAGGGAGGAAGGGAGGAAATTTACCTCTTGTAGGTCACAGCGGGTTAAATGTGCCCCCACCCACAAGTGTCCTACACCCACTCTTCAAATATCCTCAAATTACCCATTTTAAGTATGTTCTTTCCCTTCAAGACCCTGACTAATAAAGACAGTTCATTAAATACCCAGGTATTTATTATGCCCTTGAACCAATGACCATGTTGTAAACATCAATGTCAAATGACCAGCCCTGACCCAGCCCATAGACCACTTTAAAGATCCCTGTTTGAAAACACAGGCCTGACATGCTTCGTCTCTAGTGCTGGGAAGCTTTCTGGAGCCCGAGTTTAAGGAATGAAGGGCTCCTGGAAGGCCTGTCTTTCTGCTGGTCCAGTCTGGCTGGTAGGTGCTCTCTCACCCACAGAAAGCAGGGTCTGCACAGGCTTGGGTCTTAGACCTAAAGATTGGCCATCCCACAGGGACTTCTTTTCCAGGGAGACCTGTCCAGTTAAGGAGGGCTGAGAAGTCTCACATCTTGCTGTCAGCTGCTAGGAGCAAGGCTGGGTTTTGGCACTTAACTGAGTCGAACACTGGCCACACAGTCCCCCAGGAAGCTATACAGAAAGGCGCAATGTAACTGTCAGCTAGGGAAGAGATTCCCCACTTTGTGCCTGTGTAACTGTGTCTAATTCAGATGTCTTTGGTCTTCTTCAGGTCTCAGGAGTGTTCTGTTAAAGTATCTGCAATGTCTCTGCCTGCCACAGAGACAGCCCGTGTTACCAGCTCCCCGGGGGCAGATGAGGTCCAGGTGTGCTCTGCTCTCTGCACCGAGCCCAACTCCAGCCCTCCCTGCATGTTCCCTGCATGGTGCCTGAGCCCTCACAGCTGATCCTGCCTATCTCACCGAGCCCCCAAGCACGGGGAAGCACCAATCCTCTGGCCATTGCCCCCTCCTAAATGAGGTGCACAAGCAGGGCCGAGCAGGCTGAACCGAGTACCAAGCCCACGCTCATGTAAAAGGACATCACCACTCCGGTGGCCTCAGCCAGCTCTCTGGACACGATCTTAGGCCCGTAGATGAGGGCCAGGGTGCTGAGGTAGCCATTGCTGAGCCCCAGCAAGGAGCTGAATAGCACCGGGTAGATGTCGGACAGGAAGACCACCGTCTGCAGGTGGACGCGGGGCTGGTAGTTACAGAACACGAAGAGGGGGACGAGGCCAGTCCGGAGCAGCACCAGCCCAGGGAGCACCTTACTTCTGGGCCCTGGCACCTGGATCCAGGCTGTGATCTGCCGGCCACACAGGTCAGCAAAGTTGAACAGGAGGAACGTAGTGAGGGGGACGAAGAACTTGGTGGTCCACGGCGAGCCCGAGCGCTTATCAAGAGACTCGATGTTGGTGGAGATGGCGGGGAAGATGACGCTGGTGATGAAGAGGAGGTAGATGACACAGAAGCCCAGGCCAGCTGTCTTCTTTAGGATGGGACAGAGAGGTGGCGTTGGGGAGAAGCTGGGCCTCGGGGCCACCAAAGGGGTACTGGGGGAGTCCTGGCATGGCTGCTCTTCACCAGAAAACACGTGGGCCGGCCAAACAGGCCTCATGTAGTACCTGCCGGGGAGAAGGCACGTGGTCAAAAGGCCCCAGAAAGAAAATGTGGCATTCCCAGGGACAAGGCAGGGGACCTTTATGCCTAGTGTGTAAAGCCCAAGCCCCTGATGGTCCACAGCCCCAGGATGCTCTCAGGTGACATATGTGCTGCAGGATGGAAGCTGGCAGTCTCCCACCTGCCTGTCCTGATACTGCCTGAAAGGCTGGGCTCCATCCAGCCCGCTGTTCTGTGGTGGTGGCTGTACCCCAAGATGGGACAGAGGAAACCAGCTCTGACCAACATATGTCGAGCCTGGGCTCCAGTCTTAGTTCACTAGTCTTTTGTTTCATTTTTTGGAGGGGAGGAGCAGAGATAAAATAGCATTTAAAAAATACAAATTTTTTAAATTATGAAAGTGATACATGCTTGATGTAATGAACTCGATTAACACAGGAGAGAAATGATGGAGCAGAACGAAAACTCTTATCTCGAGTCTCACTCCTCAGAGGTACTGCTCATTAGAAGTCCGGGTATATTGTTCCACGCATGTGCAAACACCCCGCACCTCCCTGCCCCAGTTACATTTCTTAAGCAAAAGTAGCATCAAACATACATATTGAAAACTTTCCGCAACAGTATAATTCCTAAACATATAAATAATGTATAAATACATCACATAATTGCCTACATACATACATAACTATTATACATAAATGCGTACATGTAATTGTCTAAAGAACATTATGTGGCCATCTTGTCACTTGAGGAAACAGGGCTCTATGTCTCTGCTGCATTGCTGCATAGCATTTTACTATATGAACATACAATTCAACTGCTCCCCTACTGATGGACATTTAGGTTAGCTCCAGTTTTTCTCTGCTACAAATAATGGTGCATGAATAGCCCTATATGTAAATCCTTGCATGTGTATATTAGTATTTTACTAGGGCAGATTTCTAGGAGAGGAACTGTTGGATCAAAAGGTTTGTACCTTTAGCCCAGCTGGGCGTGGCTCAGCGGTTGAGCATTGACCTAGGATCCAGGATGTGGTTTGATTCCTGGTCAGGGCACATGCCCGGGTTGCAGGCTTGATCCCCAGTCAGGGTCGTGCAGGAGGCAGCCAATCATTGATGTTTCTATCTCTCTCTCTCCCCCTCTCCCTTCCTCTCTCTGAAATCAATAAAGATTAAAAAAAAGGGTTTGTACCTTTAAAATTTTGACAGATATTGATGAATTGCTCTCCAAACAAGTAGGACGAATATATCTCTATTCTGTCTGACCCACCTACCCTACCCTTTTAACCTCTATGACAGTATCCATTTATTTCTTTTAAAAAACTGACCACAATTTATAATCATTGTGTTAGTTTACTGGTTTAGCTTCTGTCTCCTTTAATAGAAGACAGCTCGCTAGGGCAAGAACCATGTTTGGCTTTTTCCAGCTAAATCTCCAGATACAGATTAGCCTTCAAAATATAATTTTTGATAGAACTGATAAGCCTATAAAGGTGTCTTTTCTCCCATATACTCAATACTGAATATTATCAATCTTTTCAATTTCTGCTACTCTGATCAGAGAAGAAAAGGCTTGGGTCACTTTGCTTTGCTGTGTGACCTTGTCTGAGTGACTCAATCTCTCTGGGCCTCAGATATCTGAAAACCAAGAGACACGGACTAACTGTATTAAGATACCTCAAACACAAGGCTTGGTGTGGTAGTGGGAGAACAGCAGTGTGGTGATAGCTGGGTTCTGATTTCAGTCCTGCTCTGCCTCCTGGTGTGATCCTAAGCTGGGTCCTCCCCTCTTTGGGCCTCAGTCTCCTCCTATGCAAAATGGGGGGTCTGTAGCCATGAGTTTTTGCAATCCCTGCCAGTCCTCCCATCCTAAGAGCCTATAGATAACAAGCAGGTCAGTGGGAGGATTCCTCCCCATGATCACATTTCCTTGTGATGCGGAAGAGGGACTTTGGCCTTGAACCCTGTCTTGTTTCACAATCACTATTTATGGAAAGAAATATTCTTACTTCTCCCTCTACTCAGTGTCAGGTCCTTGCCCTAAGTCTGCTCCGAGGAAGCTCCTACCAAGTTCCTCTGGTTGAAGCCCTTCCTCATAAATTCTTCCAAATCTGGCTCACCTCATTCTATCAAGGTCACCAGCCTTCAACACTGTGTGAGGCTCAGTTCCTCCCGGGTGGGATGAGGCAGCCTAGCCCGCCCACTGCAGCACCTGTGGGCTCCCTTCTAAGTAAGATTTAGTCTGAGTAGCCCCAGGAGTGCAGCTCCTTCTAAAGCTCCATCCTCAGCTGAGTTTCTATAAACCCCAAAGTCTTGACCAAAGTGTTAATCAACAAAGAAATAGAAGCTTCCATGGGACAGTAGAGCTCTGGGTGTTTTCTCTCACAAGCTCAGCTGGGCAGCATTTGGGCCTGTTCAGGTGAGTCTGAAATCCGGGGTGATCAGCTGTCCTGGTTCAGCTGAGACTGTCCTGGTTTCAGCACTGAAGGCCCCTCATCCTGAGAACACCTTCGGTCCCAGGCAAACAGGAAAGGCTGGCCACCCCGCTGGAAACAGACCATGTGAAGCACTCTAAAAACAGGACACGGGAAACAGCAGAAGGTGTGGTGGGAACCTCCTGACTTCTGTTCAGTCAGTGACTCAAAATAATTAATCAGCTGTGACAAGATGCCAGGCAGTGTATGGGTGCTGGGGGACAGTGAGCCAGCCAGAGCCCAGGAGTCACAGGACATCATCATGCAGCACACCTGGGCAATTCTGATGATAGCCTTAAAGGAGCAGGGGATAGGACAGGCAGCTCTAGATCTACAGCCACCTGGGGGACACCGTGCCAGGATGCTCAGGCCCCTTTTACCCTCCTGCAGCTGCTGAGGCCAGCTGAGGTTATAACAATCCTCAGCCTGGGGAAAGCAACCGGCCCTAGTAGGACTGGGGCTCTGGTGATTAGTGAGGCGACTCTCTCACAGGGACAGGAGGAATGAATGATGAGGACAGACCCTGAAGTCACAAGCCAGAGCTATGACAGGATGCAGTGGAAAGAGTGCAGCTTCGCAAACAGCTCCGGGTTCACATCCCTGCCTGCAGCTCACCAGGTGTGCAACCTGGGCATGTCTGTTAACTCTCCAAAGCCTCAGTTTCCTCATCTGTAAAGTGGAAAATACTGTAACAACTGTGCACAGTCTTCATGTATAATAAATGAAGAAAGTGTGTAAGGGAGTGGCTTAGCTCAATGCCACCACGCAAAATAGGTTTTCCGTGGAAAAGGGCAGAGCCAGGACCTGATCTTTCCCCAGCTCTGCTGGCTCGCACACTGTAGGACCAAAGGTCAATCACCTGGCCTCCTCTGTCTCTTCACCTCTAAAATGGGGAAGACAATTCCTGCCTTTCCTACATCAAATGAGATAATGGATATGAAAACGTATTGAAAAAAAATACAAGAAAAAGTCAAGAGTTGTTTTTAAAGAACAGCAGGAAGCAAGAAAGAAAAAGAAATGAGAGAGACAAAAGAGAGACTAGGGCAAGAAGAGAGGTCCTGCAGGGTAGAAAGGACAGTGGTTAAAAAGACAGATTTGGAGTAGGGTTCAATTTCTGATGCTGCTGCCAACAGGCTGTGCAACTCAGGCAAGTAATTCAACCTCTCTGTGCCAGGTTTTCTCATATGTGAATGGTAACAATCACGATACATTGTGGTGCTGCATCCTAAAAGGAACAGGTGTGTGAGTATTAAGCTGAGCACAATGCGGGGGCAGCGGAGGTGCTCAGTGAATGGAGCTTCTATTCATCATTCTTTTTCCTCAGGTTTCCTTCCACCGCCTGCCCTCCCCATCCAAAAACTTGCAACTCCAGTTGCTCAAGGATGTGGCACCAAGCCAACCTCTCACATCCTACTGGCGAGCCAATTTATTAAGCAACTACTATGAGCCTGGCACAGCTCAAGGTACCAAGACACAGCAGTGAACAAAATCTGCACAATTCCTGTCCTCAGGGAGCTCACACTCCAGCGGGGAGATGGGCAATAAACAAGGAAACAAACATGCCACCTAATTAGATGATAGACTGCCAGTAAATAATAAAAATACATAGCCACATAAAAGATTAACCAAAGAACTTGTATACATATATGCATAGCCCATGGACACTGACAATAGTGTGGTAGAGGCACAGGATGGAGTACAGTCTGGGTAGAGTGGGGGAGTCAACGGGGTAAACATGGGGGACATTTTTTATTGCCAACAATAAAAAAATAAAATAAATTTTAAAAAAAGAATGAACTGAGAGAGCAAGAGGCGGGCCCTCACCTGGCATACTCCAGCCGGGGCAGCAGCAGGTAGAGCCCAATGCAGAGCCCGAGGAAGACGTCCGCAGTCAGAAAGAAGGCCAGGGTGCTGTCCGTCACATCATTGGACAATGCCAGGTCCACCAGGGAGGCCACGGCACTGATGGTGCCACCCATGGCTCCTCCTGCAGAAAGCACAGGACACCATGAAGAAGGCTGGGGTGGGTCCATCTTCCCTGCACCTCAGGCCTGCCTCCTCTCTGTTCAAGTTCAACAGAATCAAAGTTTCTCCTGCTGAGAAAAATGCTGCAGTTCCCATAGTGTCCTGGATCTTTGGCGGACATGGAGCGGTTCTGCAGCCGTGAGCTCTGACTCTAAGAGGGTTTTCACATCCTTGGCCCCAATTCTCTGATGGGCCTGTAAGAGGCTGCTGTCTGAGGTGGCAAATGGCCTCCAAGGTTTTGCCTGTTTTCTGGTTTTACCTCCAACCCTTGACCCTCCATCTCTCTTTATTACCCTTTTGGTGGGGTCAGAAACTTTAGATTCAGGGGCAGGATGTCTCAGAGAACTCTTCCGCTCAAATTATCCACCATCCAAACTGGGAGAGAGGCTCAGGGAACGTCTAAGCACAGGCTCTCCCGCTGCCCCAGAGCCAGGCTATCTGACCTGGGCAGCCCTTACCCATTAAAAGCCCAGGTGCTGCCCACCCTGGACTGAGGAACTTACCTCGTATCCCAAGGTAACTGTGGTACCACGTGGACATGTGAACACATGGGTGCATGCATATTCACACACACTATCACACCCACAAACATACATGCCCATACACACTCACACTACACACACCTACCCTATCACAGACATGTCTGCACTCACACAGTCTATCACATATACACATATACTCATACACATACACTGTCATACATACACACACACCATACACACACCCCATCACACATGTTCACACTCGCACACTCACTCTATCCCATGCACACATATGCTCACACACATACACTATCATACATGTTCCCACACACATACATATTAACACATATCCGCAGTCATATATACTCACACACATACACCATCATACTCTTACACACTCACACTCTCATGCCACTGCTCTACCCCATGGAATGTTCTCTTGCCAAGTTTGGCCTGTGGTCCATGTGACCACATGGCTCCTTTCACTACTACCTAACAGAGGAGGCAGAAAAATGTGGTTGGACCCAGGGGTCCAGGACCCAAACTGATGTATGTCTGACCCTCGACTGCCACTTGCTCATTGTGATGTGGGTGCTAACATGACATTTTGGAGCCACAGTCTGCTTATCTGTAAAATGGGGATAGCAGCACCCGCCTCACATGGCTGCTCTGAGGATTTGAATGAGATGATGTTTGGAAAGGGCCCACCACAAAATACTTTCAACAAATGCCAGTCCTCTATTTGCCACAATCATGCAGTTGTTTGGGGGAGAAGGAATGTGTCTTCCTTTTCTGTCGAACCCTCCAAACGTGGTAATCAACTTTTGCTGGCCCAGAATCAGGGGTATTCGTGTTACACCTGTGAGCAGATCATTTACTCCTCTCTGCCTCTGTTTATTCGCCTGGAAAGCGGGGCTAATGCTCGCCCTGCCCTCACATGAGACTGTAGTGAGGGGAGTGGTGCACTGAACAGAGAAAGTACAGACCACAGACACAACCATGAGTATCAGTACAGCCAGCACTCGGTGACTCTGCTGGATCAGCTGACTGAATGAATGAATTTCGAGTCTCAAGGAAGCAAGAAGCAGCCGACTGCAAACAGCAAGCAGCAAACTGTGCCCTTTTATTAGGCGGCTCTGACTGGGCACCACAGAGCAGAAGTGGGAGAGGGACAGTTCTGGCCCTTGTCCCCCACAATGCCCATCATCACTGCCTCACCCATCTCTGCCTGACATCTCTGTGGCTCTGCAGGGGCCAGCCCATGGCACTGATGGATGATCCCAAACTTCTCAATATGAGCTCTATTAGCCACAGGCTGGGATTTGAAGGAAGGCAAAGAAATAAAAGTTAAGAGTGATTAAGAGCACTGACTCCAGAACCAGAACATCTGAGTCCAGTTCTAGCTCTATCACTTCTGGCTGTGTGAGCTTCAGAAAGTCATGTAACCTCTGTGTCCCCCATTTCCTCATCTTTAAAGTGGGGATGTTAATAAAACCCACCTCTGAGGGCTGTTATAAAGATTAAAGGGATTATTACATGTAAAGTGCTCAGAAGAATACCTGATACGGAGAAGTACCATATAAATCCTCTCCGATTCTTAATTAGGTGTCTGGTTATTTCTGTCCTTCCTACATCAAAGCAGAAACAACAGGGTAAACCCTTTGCCAAGAGGCTGCCAACTTCTGAGAAGCTGTAATCCCCACCTGAGCATTTTGTAAGAACTGGGGTTAAACTCAGTAAGATGTTCCCTGGCTGCCCCGGGGACAAGATCTAACATCACTGCCTATTGACTTTCCTCTCTCTCTTCCCAAGTTGTAGAGAATTTACAATATTATCATCAACAACAAACCAGGCCTCCGGGAGCTCATCCTTCATGACTCCCTACTTTTATCTCATCAGTTATGGAAATACATGCAAATGAGGGTTTAAAAAAAAAATACCAGTACAGAACGGATGAATTGTTCCTCAAATGCCAACGCAGGCAGAATGCACAGATGGGCTCCTCAGGATGAAAAAACAGGGGCTGGTGAGGTGGCACTGGGCCTCCAGGAGAGTGGACACTTGGGACTTTCCAGGGTGACAGGTGTCCACTGGGACTGCACACAGTGACGACAATGGCTCAGAGTCCGGGGTAGTTAATACAGAAGTGCGAGTACTGCATTTCAACACTTTTTCAAAGCTGGACTTTCTGAAAAGTTCATGGAGCATCCATCCCCCTTCTCTAGAAGATTTGCAGGTGGCCAAATGAGCCTGAAGGACCCTTGCCAACACACAAGGTGTTGTTTGGCCACTGGCCCCCCAGATGTAACAAGCAAGGTTGGTGCTATATTGAAAAATATATCTTCCTGCAGGATGGAGGGAGGTGAGGGGACAAGAGCCTCTTTCTGAGACAGGGGTGACAGAAGGGATTAAATCTAGCATTTTTGGCCATTCCTTCACTCTAGGCATGGCCTTCTTGAAGCATTGATAGGATATATTGATTACATTCTGGAAACTTAGTAAAGTGTCTGTTCCTATTTCATTTTGGGCCCAAGGGCTTCCCAGGATAGAGTCTAACTCCTAATCCTATATCAAAAATAGCAAAGAGATTTGAGGCCACATCTAACTCTAATCCGTTGGCAGTAACTGCCCCCAGTGCTGTGCTGAGAAGGATTTAGAGGCACAGGAGGAAAGATACAGATCGATTAGTGATGTCTGGCACTGGCTTAGGCATGGAAGAGGACATACGCTTGTCCAGGAATTTGTCATTGCTGCCACATACTGCCTGGCATTGCTCACTATGGGTACACAGCGGGTTCTTTGTGAAATTCTTCTCAAGTGGGAAAATGCTCACAGCCCTCCTTCACATGACAGGACATGTGGGGATGCTGAATGAGCCTCAGGCTTGCTTTAAGGGGTACTGGTCTCCTGGGAAAGCACAGATTCTTATTGGCGGGGTTCCTTTTTCTATTGTTGGGACATCTGGGTGAGAGAACAGAACTGCTAAGGGCTAAACAACAGGCTTAGGGTTAGCATCAAAATTTCAGCTAAAGGGGTTGGCCCACATCTCACATCAGCACCCCCACAGAATGCCCAAGTCCAGGGCACGGAAGTTTATTTACTAGGCTGTCAGCTCCTGAGAGGCTGAGTCTTATTCATCTTTGAAGCCCCAGCACAGAGCAGGTCTTCTATAAAATCATAAAGGAGGAAGGGGGGGGGGTAAGGGACTGGAAAAATAAAGAGAAGGGGAGGGGATAGAAGAGAAAGGGGGAGGAGGAGGGGAAAGAAAGGACTGCTGTTTCAGGATGTGCTTTTGGGAGCAGACTGTTTTCCAAAAGCGGCTGCAGCTCTGTCCTCCCTCCCGCCTGCTCTCCGACAGTATAATTTTCATACGCTCCCACTGAGACAATGTGGGTCTGTGTTCTCTTCTCTTGAATCCAGACGGGCTTATGGCTAAGGTGGAAGTGACCCTGGGCCCAGCCCCAGCCTTGGCTGACCTTCTAGCCAATGGCCAGCACCAACGTGCCAGCCAGGCAAGCATGCCATCCCAAGAGTGGATCCCCAGCCCCAGTAGGGCTGTCTCAGCTGATGCCTTGTGGAGCACAGGAAAGCTGTCTCTACCAACTCCTGCCCAAATCGCAGATTTGTAAGCAAAATAAACAACTGTTATTGCTCTAGGGCACTAAATTCTGGGTGCTTCGTTATACAATAGATCCTGGAAACACACCTAACACTCATTTCCTTTTCTAGAAGGGTGGTCACATGCTCACCTCTGGCTCCTTCATATGTTGCCCAGGAGGACTAACCTGGTCAGCTAAACTGTCTGGACCCCAGCTCTCACCTGATATCAGTGCCTGGGAATTCCTCATAGGGAAGGAACCCGTCATGCCGAAGATGCTGCTATTGAAGATGGTGGAGGTGCCGCTGAGGATGGCCATGCAGGCGATGGTGACAGCAAAGAAGTTGTGGGTCCAGGAGGAGGTGTCCACCTTCACTAGCACGGTCATCACCACGAAGATGGCCAGCATGATAGTCAGTGAGGCCAGCACGCGGACATGAATTGGAACTCTAGGGTGAAGATGTCAGACACGGTTAGAGACCCCCTCTGGGCCCCATGCCAGGCTGAGGTTGGTGAGCATTCTTAGGGGAAGCAGGTGGGCTCAGTGACTGGGCCTGAGTCTGCATCCTGCCCCTCCCAGCACACTAGCTGTGTGGCCTTGGGTAAGTGACTCAACTGCTCTGGTTTCATTCAGCTTCTGCATTTGTATAACAGGGAGGAGAATGGATCTACCTGCAGAAGTGGTCGCAAGGATCTCTGAGGGGTGTGTGCAGAGTGCAGAGAGCAGTGTCTGGCTCAGGGCACATGCTCGGCGGACACTGCTTCTTTTTGTCTTGCTGTGAGGTTCAGGACAGAACATGAGGGCTCTGGGGGCAAGCCCCTGTCTGCTCCTGCCATGAGCTCCTGCTGGCTTTGTCTAGTGTTTAACAGAGTAACTACCCACAGGACTTGCATCCTCCAAAACTTAGTGGGGAGGAGAGGGGGTAGAAAAAGGGAAAACATCATCACCGTCACTGTCACCACAGCAAACACTCAGTACTTAATTTGTGCCGGGTACCCTCCTAAGTGTTTTCTATGCTAACTTGTTGAATTCACATAGCAGCTCTACAGATAGGTATTCTTACCTATCCCATGTGCATAGATAAGGAAACTAAGGTCAGAGAAGCTAAGGATCTTGCTCAAGGTCATCTGGCTGTGAACCCAGGAGGTCTAGCTGCAGCCTGTGCTCTCAGAATGACATTCTAGTCCCTCCCCTGGAACGAAGGAAACAAAGGTAGGCCAGAACAAATGGTCAGGACAGAAGGATTCTCCTGGATGGTCTCCATTGTCGTGGGCAGCAGCTGAGGCCAAGCTTGTGCCGAGCAGGGCCAGCTCCCCTGCCCCACCTCTCATCCCGAATGTAAGCCCTACACTCCTCCCAGCCCCTAACTTGCCCAGACACTGCCCTTCAGGGGAAAGCAGGGAAGGCTGACTCTCAGAGAAACTGCACATTCTTATTCCAGGGAGAGAGAACATCATCTAAAGAGGCTGTTTAAAAATAATCATAATAAAGAGGCTGTTTAAATAATCAGATTACACTAAGCTTTAAACCGGATTGGAAGTTAAGTTAATTTTCCTGCTAACCAGTGGGTGAGGGATAGGAGAAAAGCCAGATTAGTTATACACAAATTTCTTTCTTTCATTTTTTGGATAAGGGGAAAAAAAAAAAGACTTATAAGGTAAGAAAAATATGTACATAAATAGGTGTGAAATGATGGACATGAAAAGCAAGAAAGGACTTTTTTCTAAGTGCTTTTGTGGCCCCAGGTTAATCTGAGTTTCATTTTGATCCAGCTGAAGGGAGCAGGTGCGGCCTCTGCTTTGTAAGGGGCAGAAGGAAGCCCAGGGAATTGAAGGGATGGTTTAAGTTTGTGGGGAGTTGGGACTAGAACCCAGATCTGCAGAGCCCCAGCTCTAGCAGTGCCTAGAGGCAGACCTTACTTTAACTTTCCAGGTAAAGAATGAGAAAACCCCTTTTGTTTCTTACTAAGAGTGCCAACTAACAAAGAGCTATACATCAGGGTTTCCAGCTAGGGAGCTATGTGCTCAGGGTGCCCTGCCCATGTGTCCTCCCTCTTACTAGGAAGCAGGCTGCAAGTGACAGGTAATTAACACCTGCTAAAGCAAACTTCTACCAATGCTCAGGAAGTGGGTGGACAAATGCCCCAGCTTGCTCCCATTGGGTGTGTTCCACACTAGCTCCCACAGCTTCCCTAACAGGTCAAGCTTGGTCACCCTCTGTGGGAGCTGGCTTAGCAAGGCATTCATTATTGCCTGTCTTTCCCTCCCCGTCTCCCTTCCCCACTCTCTTACCTTCACTTCCCAAATAAACTACTACTAAATAAAATCCTTGTTCCAGGGTGTGTTTCTGGGGAACCCCACACTGAGACACATCTTCCCAGGGCCTGCAGGGGTCTAGGCCTGGGCAAGCTGGTGGGCAGCCAGCTGGAGCACCTGGACCCCTGGGGGCCCTGAGTATCTATGTAAGGAGCCCTGGAGGCTGGTGGTCAGGCCTTACTCTGATGCTCAGGGTGATCCTACACACTCAACCCTGCCACGCAGTGCCCCTTCCCTCTTCAGCAACTATACTTGCCCCATCCACCCCCAAAATAAGAGCCTGCAGGGGCACAGAGCCTAAGTCAGGAGACTGGAGCCCTGGCCAGCTCTGCCACCAACTCACTGTGTGACCTCAAGCAAATAGTCAACCTCTCTGGGCCTCAGTTTCCTCATCTCGAAAAAGAAGATGCTGGATAAGGTAACATTCAGTCCTTCTAGCTAATGATTCTAAACCTAAAGACATTCAAGTGGAGAAAGAGGCTGGGAACAAATGCCCAAATGTTTTAACAGTTCCTTGGGGCAAAAAGAAGGGACAGGACAGACCAGAAGGTAGGAGCTACACAAGAACAGGGCCTATCTAAGCCATCATCCTAGGGCTGGCACGGGGCCTGGCAGGCACCTGGCAAGTATCTGCTGGATATACAAATTGACAAGCAAGGGTATCAGCCGTGCAGGGGCGGCTTTTACACTGGGCCTGAACCTCCCAGTCACTCTGCCTCTGGACCCCCTCAGCATGGTGGGGAGACAGCTATGGGCACCTTGCGGCATTTCCAGCCAGCCTTGGGAATAGCTTCTGCCTCCAGCCACCTCCTCACAGAGGCTGCAGGAAAAGTGTACCTCGGGAGTCCTGCTGGCCTCACAGGAGCTCTCCTGTGCCTGTCACCACACAGTCGGTAGTTACTTGAATAGGACGGTTGCTTTGGTGCGAGAGCTGGGGGACTTCTTACCCTGCACCCACAGGTTGGGGAGAGGAATAAAGAGTGAGGGGTGAGGAGGTATATGCCACATGCAATAAAAAAGCCATTCAAGCCACCTTTTCCTCCACCTCCTCATAAGGCCCCTCACCAGCACGGGCCTCCTTCTGGCCTGCTGATGACAGGCCACATAACCCACTCTCCTCCAAGCCGTATCCATGGGCCCAGGCCCTTGGGGATCTCACCTGGGGCTATTTCAATGCTCATAAAGCTTTGTGACATGTGCTTGGGCCAGCCTACCCCACATGCACTAATGAGGGCACACTGGCTTCACACTGTTTCTCCCACCCCAGGAAGGGAGAGTGGCCCAGAGGATGATGACGCTGTTGGGGTTTTAGGGTAAGTTTTGACAAGTGTTGCCCTGGTATTGGTGGTTCTGTTCCGGGACAGGGGAAGGCCAAGAGGACTGCTACAGCCCCTGGACCCTAGGGTGCATCACACTAAAGTGAGATTCTTGAAGAGGGTTGCCAGCTGTACCCAGGCTGCCAGCTCCCCCACCCCCTTGCTTGTGAGAGCCCAGGACCCCAGGGGACCGATTTCTTCACAAGTCTCCCAAATGTAAATCCTCCTCATAAGTATTTATGATGCTGCAGATTGAACATAATAAAACACTTGGCGATTATGGATGAGCCAGTGAGAGAAAGCGGGTTCTCCAGGAGGCGAGAACACGAGACATTTCATTCTCGCACATTAAATAAAAAACAGCTTATGCTCAAAGCATCTTCCCGCTGAGGCTTGGGAGCACTTTCCACATTGCCCTCACTGCTTTCCTGTAGCCAGGGGAGGGCAAGGGCAGGCCCCAGGGCAGGCTGGACCCTTCTGGAGGAAGCCTGAAATGCTGAGCCCACCAGCAAGCTCTCCACCAGACCTGGGAGAAGCCCATGGTCCCCACTGCAGACGGACCCAGACCCTTCTAACCACCCACCTCCTTCCAGCAGCTTAAAGCCAGGGCAGAGGCCAGCCCTCAGGTGAAGGGTCTGATGTGTGGCTCTGGCCACAGGGAGGGGCAGAAAACTTGGGGAACTAGGGGGCAGGGGGGCCAGAGGTTCCAAGCACAGATGAGGGAGAGAAGGGTGCCAGTTCCAATCCTGGCTCCACCCTCTTAGCAGCCATGTGACCTCTGTGAGCCTGTTTTCCCACCTATAAAACAAGGTAATAATGTTTTCTGCTCTCGGCTGTTGCAAGGATGAGAGGAAAGAATTCCTCTAAAGGATATGAGTGTTTAGAAGTTCTCAATGCTCTTATTAGAGATGATTCTCCCAGGACCCTGAGGGTGGACCTTCCCTGCCACTGCTGACTCCAGTCCTAGGATGGCTCCTACTTTCTGGACTTCACAACCACAGAGGAGGCAGTGCCCTGTGGTCTCGGGCACATCTCAGATTTCCACTTGGAAAATCAGTAATGTCACAGCCTCCCTCCTGGGATGCTGTGCATCCTAAGTGATACAACAAGGGGATCTCCAGGCATCACCCCTTATTATAGTTCAGACAGTGACTCCAGATCAAGAAGGGAGCAGGAGCTCTCATTTATGTGAGCCTGGGCTAGCCCAGATGGGCAAACCCCTATCCCCAGGGCCTGGCGAGCGAGTGGACAGAGGATCATGAGAGAGGCCTGGAAAGGAGAGAGGGCAGTGAGAGGCCGAGGGACTCCTCACATGGGTCTACTACACCTTCCCTGTCCTCCTCCTCTTCCATCCCCTTCCTGTCCTCATGCCTTCTCTTTGGAGTCACTGCCAGGGACCCAGCTCTGCCCTCCAGGGGCTGGCAGTGCTGAGGGAGCCCCTGGCTCTGTTCTGAGCTCCATTCCTCCATCTTCTCCAGGGCTGGGGTCTCTGGAGGCTGCACTCTCACCTGCTAAGACACGGAATGTAGCCCCATGTGCCAGGGCAAGGCATGAGGAGGCAGGTTAAGGGCCCTTGGGCCATCGGAGCACCATTCTCCTTCTTGCTCTTCCAGCCTGCACAGTGGTTTTAAGATGGGTGCAAATGCTTCAACATTCCTTCCATTGAGAGATGGGGTCTATGTCCCTTTGAAACCTGTGGGCTTTGTGACTGGCCTGACTAGTCGATTACAGCAGAAGTGACTCTATGTGACTGTAAGACAGTAGGTTACAAAACTCGCATATCTTCTCCCTTGTCTCTTGGAGCTCTTGTTCCTCAGCTACAATATGAACACATTGTATGCGGGAAACGTATTTATACGTTTTACGTTGACTGGTAGTAGAGCGTGCGATAAAAAACTACCCGCAAACAATGTGTGAAAAGGCCTACTACCTGAGGCCAACATGTGAGAGACTATCAGGTAGGGGGGAGGGGAGAGGCAGGGTACCCGAGGAAGCCCGCAACTCCAGTCCCAGCTGTCTTCACGAGAGACACCAAGTCAGAGCTGCCAATTGGGCCTGCTGATTCCCAGAATCATGAGAGATACTAATTACTGTTATAGTTTTAAGCCACTATGCTTTGGGATAATTTTTACGCAACAGGTCACTAAAATAGCCCCATAGCATACATAACATGTTTGGAAAGACTGGCCTGTGCAGGCTTAGCACACATAAAGCACTTAAGAGATATCCTATACTCAGAGAAGACATCACTAATCCATCACAGCACACTCCTCAAGGCCCAGGTTTGCCTTAGACTCCTGTTCAACCAGAAATCTAGGCAATCACTACAAACTGGGCAAAGTGGGCAAAACAGATTTGCCATTAGAGATCTAAGGTTTCAGTAGGCTGTGCCCAAGTTCAGGTTTCTTAATCATGACGTAGCCACTGTTATCACCTAGCAGTAGCTTAGGGGAAATGCAGGCAAAGTAGCTAGGGCTGTTGGTCTTGTAAACCTAATTTGAAAATGATGGCAATAGTCCGGCTGGGCGTGGCTCAGTGGTTAAAGCGTCGACCTAGGATCCAGGCGATCAGGGTTCGATTCCCAGTCAGGGCACATGCCCGGGTTGTGGGCTGCAGCCGATCAATGCCTCTCTCATCATTGATGTTTCTATCTCTCTCTCTCCCTCTCCTTTCCTCTCTCTGAAATCAATAAAGATATATTAAAAAAAAAGAAAGAAAGAAAATGATGGCAACAGCCACCCAGTGGGGTCTAAGGGCCATGCTAGTTTGCCTGGCTGTCTCCTAAATTATTCCTTCTTCTATGGTGTGTCCACATGGAGGTTCTCTCCCAGCCCTTCACTAACATACTGTTAGAAGTTCCCTACTGATCCCTTTGTGAACAGTAGACACAGGAAATGGTGCTACCAGCTTAGCACTGAGCAGTTGGGTGACCCATTTCCACACAGAGAGAGCCAGACTCATGGGATGCAGGGCTCTTTACTTCAAATTGCTCTCAGAAATGCCTGGAAGACCAACTTCCACAAGACTTGCTTCCTGGCCCTGCCCTGACATCCAGGTGATGTCCCTGGGCTGTAAGGCCTACAGCCCAGGCAGCTGCTGATAGACAGGCTCCCTGGAGAGGAAACGGGAAGAAGACCCATGTCCCCAACGTGCCTCCTGCTGGCTATGGCCGCTGTGTCACCAGAAAGTGAAAGTCCAGCTTCCTGACTGGGCATTCCATCTGCAGGGCCCCAGGTAACTGGCCTGACTCCTCAATCATCATGGAGGAGTCTGAGCTGCTGGCCTCCTACTTTGGCGGCCACCACTCACACGGGCAGAAAAGCAGCAGCTACAGACAAAAGGGAAGGGGAAGAGGCGGACATGAAGGTCAGACTTGAGAGAGGGAGGAAAGTGGCCTACCTGTTGACAAGCAGGAAGTTCGCCACGAGGCACAGCACGGAGGACAGGGTGGAAGCGATGGAAAGGTAGCTCTCGAAGTAATTCTGTAAGCACAGAGGTGAGGAGGCCGCTGAGGTTACTCGGGGAAGAAGGGAGGGGGCCCACCACAGCACAGACACAGGGGTCCTCTTGGTGGGGCTTCTCCCTACTATCTTCAGATACCTACTCGTGATGGTACATCTACCCCAAGACGGCATGGTCATGCCCCGTCTCCAACCTAGGAACGCTCACTGGGTGACTCAACATACAGACACCAATATGAGCTGTGCTAAGTGCTAGGAACAGAAGGAAGGAACAAACATTATCCCTGCCCTCAGAGAGGTCTCCAATGCTCTGCAGCCCACACTCCCACCTATTCAACCTGCCCCACCCAGGGATGTGGCAATGGAGACAGGACTCAATGTATGTCTACAAAGGAAAACTTTGCCCTTATCAGCCTTCTTAGCCCACTGCCAAATTTCAGAGTTACCCAAATGGGCTTTGTTATGACTCAACCACATTCCCACATTCTTGCAACAAAGTGAGCCCTCTTAAAAACATACCTAATCCCTGCAGGGAAACTTTGTTCTGATTCTGGATTGGCTCCTCTAATAGAGCGGCTACTGAATGTCAAAGCCACTTGGGGAAGTGGCTCCTGGACCGGCCAAGATGAGGAAACTGGGCATTTCCTGGAAGCAGTGCAGGGGTGTTACAGACAGAGTATATGAGCCCACAGAGGAGATTAAGGATTCCTGATCATAATGTGCTGGAACTTACGGCTAAAGAAGCTGGGCAGCAACTGTATTTTTTTTCAAAACTTGGAGAACTGCTCACTTATTAGGGCAGATTTTACTGTGTGCACTGTATTTTCTGTATTATCCCTGAATACCTGTCTAAGAAACAAAACACTGGACAGGGCTGACAGATTTTGGCTTTGACACTGTATATGAAGCCATGAGCCCCAGGTCATCAACGAAGGGTTCTAAGCCGTGATAACGCTTACATGGATTAAGCATTCACTCTATGTCACATACAAGGGCTTTATATGAATTATATCATTTACCCTAAAAAAGCTTACAAGACTGAACATACCTGAGGAAATATTTTGAGTTACAAATGTGCCGAGTACAAAGAATAACATGTGTAAAACACGTGCTCCTGCCAGTTAAGAGCAGAGTGTACCACTGGGGGTGTAAGATACTGTGAAGGTTTTTTATCATCTCTAAACACCACAGGAAGTGGTTAGAATTCTGTGATCTTTTCCCCCAAAACCAAAGGTAGGAGCAGTGAGTTCTAAGGGAATTCCAGGTAGAGGAATGGAATGAGGGGGCTGAGTATGTGAGGGAATGGGAATGAGTATGAGTTTGGGGAAAGGTTCCAGAAGAGGTGGGATTTGAGTCAGACCTTCAAACAGAGGGTCAGAGCTCTCCTTTCTGGGAGTCTGATGCAATGTGGAGGCTGAGAAAGAAGGATGTCATAACCGGCTCCTCTAGTCTGAAGCACAGATGCTTCCACAGTCCCTTTTTAAGCCTGCAGAGTGCTTTTGGTCTTTGAAATCTGCACCCTGAATGTAAGGTCATGGCAGCCTTGCAATTAAAATGATAATCACAGCTCATGTGGTCCATCGACCATGAGCCTTAGAAATAGCCTTCTTCCTTTGAGGTGCCACCTCATTGTTCCTGCCCTGATGGGCTCAGCAGAGCCTGGACTGGTCTGAGGCACTCAGTCAATTACATCTTGACACAGTGGCTGGGCCTACGTGAGGCAGGGAAGGCAGGCACCAGGCGGGAGAAATGGAAAAAGGCCCAGAGGAACAGATGGCTGCAGATGGGGGCCAAGACTGCACCCAATCCAAGCCCCGCAGTGAGGTGCCCTTCGTTCAGTGGCTGCTTATTCTGTGGCAAGTCCACGCACAACCATCACATAGGATACAAAGCCTCTGTCTGTTTTTTGAGCAGGCTCAGATTGCCTGATGTTTTAGGAATGGGGGTTTCTTAAGTAACTGAATGTTCAGGTTTATTGATAAACAGAAAATTGTTCTTTTAATGTGGGAAGGTTTAAACATTGAGAACTGAATAAGGCTACGGCTCCCTTTTTGCTGATTGAGTCCACTTCTCCACTTGACAAAGAGCACTCAGGGTGGGGGAATGAGGGTGAGGGTGGGCGGGCAGAATGAACTTGACCCGGGACCATCTTTCTACTGGTACAGATGGGAGTTGCAGGTGGTGATGTAGGTAGACTCAGCACATCCCATGGGGCTTTTTTCCTAAACCTAATTCCTAATATAAACATGTGGTGGTTTTTTATATGCTGAATTTGCTTATAAATATAGTTCTAGCAAAATGAGCTGTCTGTGGTGGGCAAACTCTTCAGGTGGTCTCATGATCCCAGCCTCATGTGTCCATTCCCTTGTATGATCCCTTTCACTGAGTTTGGGCAGGACCTGTGACTCGATTCTAAGCAAGAGAACACAGCAAAGGTGGCAGGTGTACGTGACAATGTGCATGGGATTATGTTATATAAGGTGGTAGCATCCATATTGCTGGATTCTTTTTTCCCTCCTTTGACGGCTTGGAGGAGGGAAGTGGCTACGCTGAGGAAACCCACATGGCAACAAAGACAGCAGGTGATGACCCCTAGCTACTGAGAGTGGTTTCTGGTCAACACCCAGCAAGAAACTGAAGCTCTCAGTCCTACAGCTGCAAGGAACTGACTTCTGCCAACAACCCAAGTCAGCACGCAAACGGTCCTTTTCCAGTCGAGCCTCCAATGAGACTGCAGCCTTGGCCAACCCCTTGATGGCTGCCATTTGAGACTGAGCCAAGGACCCAGCTAAGCTGCACCCAGACTCCTAGCCTACAGATACTGCGAGATAATAAATGTGTATTCCTTTAAACCACTAAATTTATAGTATTTTGTTAAGCAGCAACAGATTCCTAATTAATGAGAGTCTCAAATAGCTGAGTTCCTACTGACCAGGGTTTTTCTGAAACTGCAGCCTTCCTGCTACAATTTAAATTCAGTTCCTGCCCTGGCGGGTGTGGCTCAGCCGTTGAGCGTCAACCTAGGATCCAAGGGATCAGGGTTCGATTCCCGGTCAGGGCACATGCCCAGGTTGCAGGCTGCGCCGATCAATGACTCTCTCATCGTTGATGTTTCTATCTCTCTCTCTCCCTCTCCTTTCCTCTCTCTGAAATCAATAAAGGTATATTAAAATAAATAAATAAATAAATAAATAAATAAATAAATAAATAAATAAATAAATAAATAAATAAATAAATTCAGTTCCTCGCCCTGGCCAGTGTGGCTCAGTTGGTTAAACATTATCCCGTACACCAAAAGGTGGTGGGTTTGATTCCCAGTCAGGGCACATATCTAGGCTACGGGTTTGATCCCCAGTTGGGGCACATGCAGAAGGCAACCAATCAATGTTTCTCTTTCTCTCTCCCCTCTCTCCCTTCCTCTCTTTAAAATTAATTTTAAAAAGAATCTCATTTTTTTTAAATTCTGTTCCTCAACAAAAACAGGGACAACTGATCATGATATTTTACTCAACTTCTTGCCAGACGTGAAGGCCAGTATGTCTGCCCCTGAGGGAAACAAAGGTTATGCTTCTGACTACATCAGTCCACTCAGCCTTTCTTCACCAAGTCCTTTGCTGAAATTAGGACCATTCAGGCAAGAGGCACCCACTGATTTCAAGAAACTGAACTTGGTTTACATTCCACCCCAAATCTGTTCACCTCACCTGCCGTTTGGGCCATCTGCCTTGCTACTTGGTCCCATGGTCATAAAGCCACTGCTACTGCTGACAACAAACAGGAAAGACCTCTGTGCCTTTGTACTGTTTGGGCTACACCTGCTCCCTGGTGGCTGAGGAGGGGCCAGGTGACACTCTGTGACGGATAGGGGAGGCAAAGTCTTAAGAGACAGACTTTGACCAATGAGAGGCAGGCAATGGGAAGGAAACAAGAGAGAAATTGCTTGTCCCTCTTCTCCCCCAATAGACTGTTCTGAAATGTGGGGGCTCCACGTGGCATCTTTGCGGAGTCTTGTGCCAGAGCAACCAGCTGTGTTTGGCTGCAAAGCNAAATAAATAAATAAATAAATAAATAAATAAATAAATAAATAAATAAATAAATAAATTCAGTTCCTCGCCCTGGCCAGTGTGGCTCAGTTGGTTAAACATTATCCCGTACACCAAAAGGTGGTGGGTTTGATTCCCAGTCAGGGCACATATCTAGGCTACGGGTTTGATCCCCAGTTGGGGCACATGCAGAAGGCAACCAATCAATGTTTCTCTTTCTCTCTCCCCTCTCTCCCTTCCTCTCTTTAAAATTAATTTTAAAAAGAATCTCATTTTTTTTAAATTCTGTTCCTCAACAAAAACAGGGACAACTGATCATGATATTTTACTCAACTTCTTGCCAGACGTGAAGGCCAGTATGTCTGCCCCTGAGGGAAACAAAGGTTATGCTTCTGACTACATCAGTCCACTCAGCCTTTCTTCACCAAGTCCTTTGCTGAAATTAGGACCATTCAGGCAAGAGGCACCCACTGATTTCAAGAAACTGAACTTGGTTTACATTCCACCCCAAATCTGTTCACCTCACCTGCCGTTTGGGCCATCTGCCTTGCTACTTGGTCCCATGGTCATAAAGCCACTGCTACTGCTGACAACAAACAGGAAAGACCTCTGTGCCTTTGTACTGTTTGGGCTACACCTGCTCCCTGGTGGCTGAGGAGGGGCCAGGTGACACTCTGTGACGGATAGGGGAGGCAAAGTCTTAAGAGACAGACTTTGACCAATGAGAGGCAGGCAATGGGAAGGAAACAAGAGAGAAATTGCTTGTCCCTCTTCTCCCCCAATAGACTGTTCTGAAATGTGGGGGCTCCACGTGGCATCTTTGCGGAGTCTTGTGCCAGAGCAACCAGCTGTGTTTGGCTGCAAAGCTGTGGCCAGCCCAGAAATATCGCAGCCTGTGTTTGCTCTCTTCTATGCCAGCCTCACTTCCCTTTTCCCATACTCTTACTTCCCCAGGACTGCACTCCCTAAGACAGTATT